GCGTCCTCTCTCAGCCCCGCCTTGTAGGCGTGACCATTACCGAAGCCTCAATGGGGGTTGGAACTTCCAGGTCAAAGTTGGAATGGCTACCCACTACAATCCTCAGCTAGCTGTCTAATACTGCCCAGACAGACCCACATGCCTAGGGATGGTGCCACCCACAGAGGTCTAGGCTTTCTCATATCAATAGTCAGTTAATCTCTTACAGATACGGCCACTGGCCAGTCTGATCTGGGCCATTACTCAACTGAGGTTCTCTCTCCCCAGATGACTCTAGGCCATGTCAAACTGGCAATAAAAACCAGCTCACCTGGATAAATCAAAGACACTGGGTCGCAGGAGTCATGATATGAAGGGTCTGTCCATGGAGGAGCAAAGTTTCTAAGAAAGGTAAGAGGGAGAGGAAACTCCTCAGGAAGAAGCATCACTAAGCTCTCAGAGCTCACATTCAGCAGCGGTGTGTTCCAGGCCTCCACACTCCAGCCATCTCCTGGAGTCCGGTGAAGGGAACTGGGGAAAATGTGAATGACTTCTCAGGGAGATTTGTGACTGGAAACAGGAATGATTTCTTGGCGGGTGGTATGGGTTTTATTCTGAGTAACACTGAAATCTGTTAGATTATTTAAACGTTCTTATTTTTATGTCTTTACTGGTGTTTATTAATTATGCATGATAATAGGTCCCATTATGTCACTTAGATGTTTTTAAGTAAAGGTTTGATATGAGCTGGTACATTTGCTGTTTGTTATTTTGGAACATAACTCTAATAACAAATTGAAAGTGGAGCAGAGAAGGGAAAACTTGGCGCAAGGAAAGATCAAGGAGAGAGCTGTTACACTCCTTCCAAGGAAGAGTAAAGAGTTAAGGGAGATGTTGGAAAGATCCCAGGGACATTTCAATGTGGTATTTATAGGCTTGGACAGCTATCTGGATGTGAGAAGTAAAGGTAGACGTCAGGTCCAATACTGGGCTTGCTACTTGGTAGGGTGAAGCCATTAACTGGGGTGATATTAGAGAAGAATGTCCAGGTTGTAGAAAAGATTAATTCATATTTGGGTATGTACTCTGGAACACCAGCATAGAAAAGACCTCCAGGCAGGGAGCAACCTGAGCTCAGAAGAAATTTGACAATTTGAGCTACATTATTGAGTGATTTTCTTATTATGGGTATTCTTTGAATAGACAATATTTCCTAGAGATTATTGGTCACATGAATGGTCCTATATTCAAAGTTCATCTATAGACAAGACTATTATTTAAAAGTAGTATATCATGGGGCTGGAGAGATGGCTCAGTAGTTAAAGGCACTCACTGCTCTTCTCAGACTCCCTTCTCAGCACCCACCTGGTGGTGCACAATCTAACCTTCTGTAACTTTAGTCCCAGGGGATCTGCCATTCTCTCCTAACACCTGTGGGCATTGGGCATACATGGTACACACACACATACATGGTACACACACACATACATGCAGGCAAAACACTAGGACACACAAGAATTGTTAAACTGAAAAGGAGCATATCTTGGTATTAATAATGCATCAAAGTGCTTCTTAATCTCCCTGTCTGTAAGACAGAAAAACAAAAACAAGAAAGTATCCTGGGCTTTTCTAATTATTCTACATCTGGATACACAATGTAGTTTTACAGACTCGAAGAGACTGAACAACCCCCCCAACCAGCTCCACACATAGAAAAGTAAATAAATTGATCATAGCCATATAAGGACATGGCTGCATTTCAAGTTCCCTTTTCCACATGAATTCTATTCTTCCCTGTTACCAGAGGGCAGCACACTGGCTCCATCTATCTAAGGTTAATTCCGTGCTTTGAACGCCAAATCCCTCAGTCTTCTCTGTAGCCTTACAAATGAGACGCGCCCACCTCCATCTCTTTGTTGAGAGATCTTATTCTAGCCTGCTCATTGTCTTCTCTCTGACAGTATTTAACACATTTAATCATCTGCTTTGAGGTATACAGCTTCGGCCCCATAACCTGGTCCGGCCCAACTATTTATCTCTGTCTTTTTGTAACCGATTCTTTCAAAGACTGTGTTACTGTGTCTATTTTCTCATCCCTCACAATCGTACACATACCATGATCTGATTTTTATGAGCATCCTTTTGATCTCAGAAAAACCATCAATGGCCTATGGCACTGTCAATACAGTCGATGGACACTGCATAGTGGTTATTTTACTTTGCAGCAATAGTTTTGAGAGGAATGCCTACCTCTTCTGCTTGGAACTTTGTGAGTTGGCTTCTGGCACATCACATTTTCTCCTCATTTCCAGCCTTTGTGGTGCTCTGGTTCCTCAAAATTCACAGCTCTCAGGTGTTAGTTTCTCCTGAATATTCTCTGCTTAACCCGTTCATTTCCGATTCAACACCCTCCCAGGGTGATCTTATATTTTCCCATTCTTTCAATCATTCTCTGTGTGCCTATTCCTCCCACATCCATAGATCCAGCCCAGGATGCTTTCTGAGTTATAAGACAGCGTGCCCAGCTGTCCACTGGACATCCTGAGTAAGACATCGCTGGGAACACAAAACCGACATCGATATGCACTTCTATCCCAACCTGGCCCTGTGCTGATGTAACTTGTTCGGAGAGTACCCCACATATATCTTACATAACTGGTGCTTGGAGGTCAACTGTTAACTGAGATGGGTGGGAGTGCCACCATAGAAAAGACCACTACTCAGATTGTGCGTGGTGTAGAAACGGGAGAACTGATAAACCAAATGACATTATAAAATATGCTTGATTGATCATCATTTTTAAATGAGCAGGATCATACAGAACACCCTACATTTACAGCAAAAGAATGTCCGGAGGACATGAGCAAGGATTGCAAACACCCCACGGCCAACAGAAGGATGTGGCTTGTGGGTACAAAGTGATGACATCTGACACTATTAGCACCATCAGCACCACACTCAAGAAAGCTGGCAAGCAGTGAGCAGCCAGCTTGCAAAAGTGCTGTGTGCTCCATTTCCCTCTGGAGGGGAGGTGGTAACAGTTTCTCACTGCTGCAAGTTTCTCAGAGCCCTGGGTTTCCTGGAAGGTTTTTTCCACCAATCCCACACCTGTATAAAGACTCCAGTAAACAATCTGCCAGAAGTCCAGCCCCCCAACTCAGGCTAAGACCCTCTGCTCAACCACAGGCCTTGCCGGCCACCAGCAGTCCAGCTCCAACAAGAGTAGAGACCCCTTGACCCCCTCCTCAGCCACAGGTCACACCAACCAGAAGACCAGGGAGGAAACAGAAACCAAGGAACAAAACACCCATCCAACAAAGACAAACGCAAGAAAGCCTATGGCTGCCCTTTTGATCATAGCTCATGTCTTCATTGTGTCTGTGTAGTGGGTAGCCATTCCAGCACATAAACAAAGCATGCTAAATGGAGAGCGAGAAGTCCCTTAATGCTTCATGCCAGCTGTGCCACATCTGGAGAATGATACATAATTCTACACATTGATAACAAAGACAATACCAAAAAAAAAAAAGATAACATGCTATAAACGCAATGGCTGCAATAGTTAATACAAAATCTAATGTGTGCTGGGCATTTTATAAGTACTTTATGCATATCATTTCATGTACTATATCAGATTCGTACAATGACTATTCCCATTTTGCAGATTATGAAAGTGCGGCACCAAAAGTTTATAACCAACCCAAGTAAGTAGTAAGTAATAGAGCCACATTTCAAAAGCACATCTCCACACCCCATGCTCATAGGAATCAACCATATCAATGGCCTATCAGAAATGATAAGGAGAATATTACCCTGGGAATGGGATGGGAGGAGATGCGAAAGAAAGCATGTGGGCTGGTCTACACTTAAATAAGCAGGTAGGAATCATAGGCAGCAGGTGCTGGCTAGGTCAAATGATTTTAATTCTTTGACTTGTCTCACTAGGGAACAACCATGCTCGTAGAGGTCACTGTCAGTAGAGGACAGAGGTCCATCTATAAATAATATCAAAGCTAGTCCCACCCTGGGAAAAAGGTGAACCTAACGATCCCCTAAAGTCTCTTTGTTCACTGAGATCTATGGTTCTAAAAATAATGCACGGTCCTCATCTCTAACAGCTCGCAACTTCCTGTAGAGAATAAGGTGAACACAGCAGAACTCAGGAAAGGTAAATCATTTAAAAAATCTATCAAAGTGATAAAAGGGAGTGGGTCCTCACACTCCCCCTAAAGATAAATGCCTCTACCTTATTGAGCAATATTAAAGATGGAAACCACACAGCACATAATGCCATGATATAAAATCATACGAAATGCCAAGTAACACATTAAGCGTAGGTCGTCCTCATGCACCTGCTTTTTCCTATCAATGATGGTGTTAAAGAATTTGAGTTGTCTGTCTGTGAAATCACTTCTCCTCCTCTACCAGAAGGACAGGTTCTAGTTAAATCTGAGATTAAAGAGGTGGATCAAAGTGACCCCTGGCCCTCAAAGCCAGGAATTAGCCACGCCGTGGCTGCAGGCACTGCAGACGTGATCTATCAGATGCGGGTGAAGCGAATCCTTTTGCAAAGCATGACAGCTTTCTCAAACCTGACTGTGGTGAATCCAAACCAGATTTTTATGCTGTATGACCAGCTTCCAAAATTCAAAGTCATTTTGCTATCACATTGAGCTTACGTTTTACAAGCTTTATGTTTACAGTCAAAGATGTAGAGGCCTGCAGTGCAGACGACATGGTGGGCCTGAGCTCCCCTGGTGCTCATCTTATATAATAAAATATCAGATAACAGCGATAGGGAAGCACATGAAGTCAGTGTTTCTCTGTAACAAAATGCTGTCAGACAGCAATGGATTTCCCCACATCCTTAAAATGAAACTCGCATCCCATGCCCTAAAAGCTGTTCACAATGTGCCATCAGACCATCCTCAGTGATCACAGCTTTCCAATGAAATGTCACCAATCCTGAAGCAGTCAGTCCTCTGACACTGTGCTGCAACCCTCACGCGCCCACTTCTTACCTTTTTGTAGTCAGATGAGGGCTTCTCACCAGCCAGTGTGCTAAAAATGGTGCCCTGCAAAATAGGAAGGACACCGACCATCAGAGCCCTTCAGAGCGGAGGACACCACCTTCCCTTCCGCTCCTGGTCTAAGTGCACTTTGTGTCCCATTGCCTCGGATGTCCCTGCATTAACATGCATCTGTCTCTCGGCATTCCCAAGGCCACCATGCCCAGGTTAGACCATCTTTCCTGTCGCCTCAGATGTCTCTGCATTAAAATGCATCTGTCTCTCAGCATTCCCAATACCACCATGCCCAGTTTGGACCATTTGTTTCAGACAAATGAGGAAATGGCTCTCACCTTCATTTCACAGAAAAGAGTCAAATGATAATGTCTTTCAAATGGCTCCCACTGTGAGCCTGAGCTCTGGAGCAGGGCCTTTTCCTAAGAGAGTCTGCCAGCAGTGGTTCCAGGGCTTGGGGTCTCCCTCCCACTTCCTTTACCACACTCCCTCTCCCAGGGTTTGACTTCTTGCCTATACCTGTTTGCATGTGTATTTTCTTGGCACCATGTGCCACTTACAAGGCTCTCAAGCATCCAGTGTTGCATGGGGATTTATACACAAGGTTGTTCCTCTTGAACTACCCACAAACACACGTGTGGCCATTGCTAGCCACGCCAATGGCTCAAGGTTATAATCTTCTCTACTTTTTAAGTATAAGACAAATGCACATTTTTAATGATTAAATCTCCTTTGTGTCCTGTTCTTCTGAGGTAGTCAATAGTGGAAAGAAAGTGCCCAATGAATATGCATAGGAGAGATGCGAGATTGGTAACAGAAGAGCAGCTGTGCGTCTCATCCCACAGCACCTTCTGGAGGTCTCTGTGGGAAAGCAGACTCCCACGTAATAACACTATAAAGTGAAGTTCAGGGAGAGGGAGACAAGCGAATGACTCCTACATAATGGAAAAACGCATCTTTATTTAGCACTTACGCATTGACTACTGTCCACTCATGTAGCTAAGCCAGGATTTTCGACATCAGGTCTTTGACCATCCAGGAGCAGATAAGTCTCTGTTGCAGAGTGGAGAGGGGCATGTTGCCCATCACTGGATGTCCTGCTGCACTTTTGAATTTGATCTACCTGGGGCTAATATCATCCCTCTGGCAGCTGCAACTCTAACTGTAACCTGTCTTGAGACATTACTAAATATGTTGTGGAGACAAAATCACCCCCAGCTGGAAGCAACTTGTTAAGCCTAATAGGACTTAGAGACACGACCCTGAATTCCATGAGTTGCACAACTAAATATTTCCCCCAGGAAACAAAAGTCTGGTCGCAGAATTTCTCTGCCCACCACTGAATTCCTGTGTCATTCTCTATTCTAAGTAGGAGTCAGAATCTGGGGAAGGCCTATATTTCAGCTACCAAAGACTCCACGTGGGGAGTCTCAAGGACCATGACAGCATCTTTAACTAAGTTTAAGATACACCAGCAGGTCTGGCAGGATAGCTCTGTGGGCAAAGGCGCTTGTTGCACCAACCTCACAAGCTGAGGAGTGAAATACTCAGATCCCAAAGCAGAAGGAGGAGAGAACTGACTTCTGAAAGTTGCCCTGTGACCTCCATACATGAGCTATGGCAGGCTTGTGCCTGTACTCATGCCCATCACACCCACCCACCCACATCCACATTCACACACACACACACACACACACACACACACACACACACACACACACACACACACATTCTAGGAAGAGCAAATTAGAATACGTCTTTTTATGTGTGGAGGGTGCACATGTTTGGGTGTGTGTGCACACTGGTGCATGTGCATCCAGAGGTCAGAGGTCAGGTGTTTTCCTTGTTTGGTCACCATGTTATGTTTTGAGATGAAGTCTCTCTGAACGTGGAGCTCATCAGTTTAGCTAAGCTGGCCAGTGTTTTATGACGTTTTGTTTGTGTTCTGACTAATAAAGCTTGCCTGGAGATGAGAGAATCAGAGCAGCCAGCCACTAGACTTCTTACCTCTACGAATCCTCAGACTCAATGGGGGAGATCCTGTCTCTACAAATCCTCAAACTGAATGGGGGGCTAGATCCTGTCTCCACCCACCTTATACTACTGTCTCCACCTCCCTAGTGCTGGAATCAAAGGCATGAGCCTCCCAGGTGCTGGGATTAAAGGTGTGATCCACCACTGCCCAGCACTGTTTCTCTTTTAGACTGTTTCAATCTTGTGTAGCCTAGGGTGGCCTTGAACTCCTCATCTTCCTGTTTCCTCCTCCCAAGTTCTGGGATTAAAGGTGTGTGCCACCACTGCCTGGTTTCTATGGTTAACTAACTAGTAGCTAACTCTGCCCTCTGATCTCCAGGAAAGCTTTATTTGTCAGAACATAAACAAAATATCATACAATGGGCTGGCCAATGAGCTGCAAATATATGCCTAGCTCAGCCCCACCAAGCACTGACATGCACCACTGAACCCAGATTTTACATGGGTGCTAGCAATTCAAACTCAGTTCTCTGGGCTGTATAGCAAACATATTACAGACTGAGCCATCCCTAAAGACCCCAGGAATATCTGAAACTTCAAACATTAGTGCTGTAGCCCCAGGAGAAGTGACCCACAAAATTAAACAATACCCTTCCATTTCTTTAGAACAGTCCCAGGTGATTTGAGAAATGCATTCAGAGGAAAAAAGGAGTCTAAAATGGGCAAAAGTAGCTTCACACACACAAAATGATATGACCAGCTATAAATGTTGTATTTGTAGAAACCCTTGAGCCAAAGGACAATGCATAGTAAAGTCTTAATACCTAGAATGAGTATAAAAGAGGAATGGCATGGATCAATGATAGTCCATAGCCTTAATTTAGCTATTTTCTAAGGAGATTTTACTTATACGCTTGGTCAACTTCATTTCATTCCCTTCAAAAGACTTTAACTGGCATCCAGTTTCCTAATTGCAACCATTGTGAATGGCTTTGGGTGGGCTTTCTGAGCCTTCCCATAACATGCTCGGCTTAATTACTGAAAACGAAAGACTCCAAGGATGGTGACCTCCTCACTCTGTGACCTTCTTGATTATTGCATCAATATTTTTCTACGAAAGGAGAAACTCCTAATGAGTCACCTCCACCAAAGTTTGCATGATGCTCTGTTTGTCACATTACACAAGTGCAATGTCTTTTAAAAAACCCCCAGCCTCAGACCTTATTAGTGAGATGACCTGTGTGGGGTGGACAGCATCATACATCAACAATTAAAGTAGTTTCACCCAAATACACTTAGGAAGTAAAGCCCTACTCTTGTGTATTTATATGCCAATGCCTGAAATTTCTCTCATGGGATTTCTGTTTTTAGCATTAGGCTTTGACTCATGACAGTCAACTCATGGGGGACGATTACGTGCAGGCGACACTACAGGAAAGGACACTGGAAATTTCATGCTTGTACTTCATTAGTCTCTTATACCTTAAAGGAAATAAATTTATCAGATCCACCCCCCAAAGCAGGGTTTTTTTTTTTGGTACTCTTTTCTTTAAAAAAAAAATGAATTCAAAAGCAGATTTGATTGGCAAAGTAAAGAAACTGAGGTCATGAGGGCATTGGACACTCGTGGTGAAGGAAAAAGATCTGAAGACGCAGGTCACAGGTTAGATTCCCTACAAAGCAAGCTGTGAAATGGAAATTACATGCAAGGGTGTATTCTTGGTGTGTGCAGAATGGGGGGTCACAGGATGGAGTAGATGGCAGTGAGCAGCAGAGCAGGTGCAGCAAAGCTCTCAGCCAACCACATAGGAAGCTCTCAAAACAGCGGATATGCACGCAAACGTGGGGACATGAAGCGCTGCCCTAGAAAGGGAACATGTTTTGCTAGGCCACCTGACTCTTTCCATCCCCAAGCTGAGAGCACTTAACTGGCGGCATCAGGGAGGTCTGTGTGGAACGTGGCTGAGCCTACTATAGCATACTCTGTTTTCATATGCTTTTACCTGGGACGGACCTCGCTTGTAACCTATTTACTATAGTTAAACATGGCTTCTTAAAGGTGAACAATTGCTGGTCTTTCATGGTGTCTTGGATAGAAAATCAAGTGGACCACCTGCTCAGCAGCCTAAGCCCCAGCCCTTGCCCCTTCTTAACAGATGATTTAGCAGCTTACGATGGATCCTTGATCTCATGGCCTTCAATTCACTCTGAAATGAGAAAGTGTATGTCCTTTTTCCTTTAGGGTCATGAGAACCTTAGCTAATATGAAGAAGAGGACCCTGTTTTCATGGGGCACAGTATCTGGAAATCCATAATTATGATTGATAGCTACTTCTTTCTTCCATCCGCTAACACAAGAAGACTCAAGAGAGTGGCGTGGTCAGCTTTTCATCCTCTTTGGAGGCACAAAGAATTCTTACAGGTGTATTGTAGGTTCTCCAGAAAAGAACCGATAGGCTACATCGAAACCTAGATGAGAAGACACTGTGGTTTGACACGTTGCACTAGGAAGGGTGAGGAAGACCACAAGATGTCATCTTCGGACTAGGAAACCAACTAAGGAAGCCAAAGTCTGAGAACTACAGAGCCCATGGTTTACTATTCTGAGGTCAAAGGCTGCGACCCCTAAGAACCTTGGGGAAAAGAGAGGGTCTTAGTATAAATTTTAGAGCCCAAAGAACCAAGAACCAGGAGCTTCTATGTCTGAAAAGAGAAAAATATGGATGACCCAACTGAAAGAGATGGACAGAAAGAGAAAGAAGGAAGGAGGGAGAGGGGGAGAGGGAAGGAGGGAGAGGGGGAAGAGAGAGGGAGGGAGGAGACAAAGGGGGAGAGAGAGGGAGAGAGAGGGAGGGAGGAAGAGAGGGAGGAAGGGAGGGAGAGAGCGCTCATCACCTTTTTGTTCTATTCAGGCCCTTAATGGATTGCATAACTCTGGTCACATTGTTGAAGACAGATGATCTCAGTCTTCTGATTTGCTTACTAGTCCTTGCAGATAATATCCCCAAAATCATGCTCTGTCACTTATGAGGACATCCATTTGCCCTGTCAAGTTAACAATGTTAACCATCACAACA